CTCCTCTCTGCAGCCCCCTGCCCTTCCCTCCCAGGGATTTGTGAGCCTTTTCCCTCATGGTCCTTGCTCTCCTCCCTTTAGCCTTCTCCCTCTACCGGCTGCTGCCCCTCCCTGGGGAGTTGGTGCTTTCTTTTTGTTGTTGTTTTTCCCCCCCAGGGGAGGGAAGTGAGGAAAGAGGGAAATCAAAAGATTGTCCCAGAGAGGGATAAGGGGAGATGCGAGAATGGGCAGAAGCAGGCAAGGCAAAGATTGTACCTTCAGTAAGGTAGGGTTGTTGAGGTTAGGCCCTAAACATCATTCTACTTGAGAATCCATCAGGGGAAAGACAAATCAAGGGGAGCAAAAGGAGCCACTAAGGCCAGAGGCAGGAGATAGAATCTTAGGGGGCCAGGGTAAAGGAGGGAAACCAGGGACTAGAGGTGCTTCCTGGGGGTGGGGGAATGCAGCCAGTGTCCCCCCTTCCCTCTTCCACCCCAGCTCCAGCCCTGGTCTTTTCTTTTCATCCCTCTTCCCCCATGACTGAAGCTGTGGCCCTGGCCATGTCATCGTGTTCCTGTGTCCCCTGCATGTTCCCCACCCTCCACTCCCTCCTTTTGCGCGGACCCCATTACAATAAATTTTAAATAAAAACTGAAAAAAATAAAAAATAAAAAAAAATAAAAACCAACTCGAGCCAGGGCCGGTGGCCCACACCTGTATCGCAGCTACTCAAGAGGCTGAGATCTGAGGTCGCAGTTCAAAGCCAGCCCAGGCAGGAAAGTCGGTGAGACTCTTATCTCCAATTAACCACTAGAAAACCAGAAAAAGCCAGAAGCGGCTCTGTGGCTCAAGTGGCAAAGAATCTCAGTGACAGCAGCCCCGGCCCAGGAAAGGGGGGAGAGGAAAGAAGGGGGAAGGGGAGAGAGACAGAGAGAGAGAAACAAACAACAAAATCAACCCAACATGGAAAACAGCTGACAGCACAGGGCGTCATTTATTGGGCTATTCAACAGGTAAGCTCCAAACACAGGTGGCCGGTGTGTTAAGGGAGGAGGCCAGGGGCCAGCCGTGTTAAGAAACAATAGCACTTCTTGCTTGCAGGCGCTGCACCGCTGTGCGGCCGAGGGCTGAGTTTTTAGTGCCAGGAAGCGTGGACATTGAACCAGCAGCTTTTCAGGAGCAGAGAAGCAAGAAGGAAAGCATGTTCATGTAGCCAGGACAGGGAAACCCTTTATACAAATTAAGTTGATACAAAATACGTTATAAAGAGGACACACATACAAAAGTCATCGGGGTGGGCAGAGCCAGGCTGGCACGGAACACCACGCTAAGAACACGGGTGGGCAGTCACGTCCGTCAGGAGCGAGCGGCCGGAGCCGCCTTCACCGCGGCAAAGGCACCATCACCTCCACATAGCTGATGGGGAAGAACCCCGCCGCCCCGCGGAGCGTGCCCTCGTACCAGTTTTCGTCTATTTGATTGGTTAACGTAATGATGTCTCCTTCCTTAAAGCCTAATTCTCCTTGGTTTTCTGGCTCAAAGTCATAGAGGCCACGGCAGCAGGGCTGGTCCACAGGGATGCTAGGACCTGTCCGCAGGGACAGAAAGACAAAGCAAAAACACACAGGTTAACAGATGAACCACCCACTGGAAGCTGGACGGCAGGCGTTGGGTGCCCCCCCGGGCTGGCTCCTCCCTGGCCTGCCAGGCTGGGCTGCCCGTGTGGCCTGCCGACACCCTGGGGCCCGGCTTCACCCTCCTCAGCCCCACCAGGCGGGGGACCTGGGTCCTGGGAGCAGCCACTCGGCCTGCCGGGACCCCGAGGCGGGGGATGGAAGAGGTCCAAGCCCTGCGCGGAGGGAGCACACAGGGTCACCGCGGGGCGCAGGCTGAGGGGTCAGGAACAGAGACACCGGGGTCTCAGGCTTCGGAGAGCCTGCGTCCAACCCAGAGCTGGGCCTGGGCCAGGAGAGAAGCCAGGGCAGGGGAGCAGAAGGTTCACACCAGAGAATTATGCCATGAAGACATGGTAAGGGCAAGAGAGAAAACGCAGCAGGCCAAGTGGAAGGGGCTGTAACCAAGCACAGGTGAACCCGGACGCGTGTCTGCAGACGGGTCTGTGTGTGTGCGGCGCCGGTCGGAGGTCACAGATCCTCCGATCCGCAGCCTCCGATCCGCAGCGCATCCGGAGCCCGTGTGACCTCCCGAATCCCTGGCATGGCAGGCCCCCTCCCCTCCCCCCCGCCTTCTCATTGCTTCCCTTCCTGCCTTCCTCCCTTCTTCCCTTCTTTCTCTTTCTCTTCCTTCTTTCATTCTCCTTCTTGGCTTTCATAAGTAACGTTTGGAAACAGCACATACACGCATATACACGTCTATGTACACGCACATACAAGTCTACATACACGCACGGCAGCGGTTCCGGGGCTAAGTTCCTACAACAGGATTTGATGGTAATAGAACATGATTTTTTTTTCCCTTAAAGACACCTGACATTTACTATCATTCCTCAGGCGTTTTCAGGGCCAGGCACACCGCACGAGTCACTTTCCCATCCCACTGGGGATTTTCAGCTCACGGCGCTCACAGCTCACAGCTCACAGTGCTCACAGCTCACGGTGCTCACAGCTCAGAGTGCTCACAGCTCACGGTGCTCACGGTGCTCACAGCTCACAGTGCTCACAGCTCACGGTGCTCACAGCTCACGGTGCTCACAGCTCACAGTGCTCACGGCTCACAGTGCTCACAGTGCTCACGGCGCTCACAGCTCACAGTGCTCACGGTGCTCACGGCGCTCACAGCTCAGAGCTCACAGTGCTCACGATGCTCACGGTGCTCACAGTGCTCACGGTGCTCACAGCTCACAGTGCTCACGGCGCTCACAGCTCACGGTGCTCACAGCTCACGGTGTTCACAGTGCTCACAGTGCTCACAGCTCACAGTGCTCATAGTGCTCACAGCTCACAGTGCTCACAGCTCACAGTGCTCACAGCTCACAGTGCTCACGGTGCTCACAGTGCTCACAGCTCACGGTGCTCACAGCTCACGGCGCTCACAGCTCACAGTGCTCACGGTGCTCACAGCGCTCACAGCTCACAGTGCTCACGGTGCTCACAGCTCACGGCGCTCACAGTGCTCACAGCTCACAGTACTCACGGTGCTCACAGCTCAGAGTGCTCACAGCTCACAGCTCACGGTGCTCACAGCTCACAGTGCTCACGGCGCTCACGGTGCTCACAGCTCACAGTGCTCACGGCGCTCACAGTGCTCACAGCTCACAGTGCTCACAGCTCACAGTGCTCACAGTGCTCACAGTGCTCACAGCTCACAGCTCACGGTGCTCACAGCTCACAGTGCTCACAGCTCACAGTGCTCACAGCTCACAGTGCTCACAGTGCTCACAGCTCACAGTGCTCACAGTGCTCAAGGCGCTCACAGTGCTCACAGCTCACAGTGCTCACAGCTCACAGTGCTCACGGCGCTCACAGTGCTCACAGCTCACAGTGCTCACGGCGCTCACAGTGCTCACAGCTCACAGTGCTCACGGCGCTCACAGTGCTCACAGTACAGGCACTTGGTGACCCATACCCGCAAAGCTCGGCTGGGCGGAACTGGTTATCAGGAAGTCACAGCCCCCGAGGCTTCCCCTGAGGTGAGAGCAAGTCCCTTAGCACTCAAGTCCCACATCAGGCTGTTTCTACCTTCCATGCCAGAGGCAGGTGGGTTTTTGTGAGAATTGAGAGAGACAGAGTAGAGACAGAGACAGCCACCAGGTTCCAAGGAACCACAGCGTGAAGACCTCAGAGCACAGAGGTTTCATTTCAAGATGGGGGAGGGAGGGAGGAGTGCTTCCTGCCCCTGGGGGAAGAGATGCAGCTCTCCAAGAGGGGGGGGAGCTCCTCCAGAGGGGCCCTGGAGCTCTCCAAAAGGGGTCCTGGAGCTCTCCGAGGGGGGCCCTGGAGCTCTCCAAGACAGGGGCCCAGGGCGGTGGGCAGGAAGTTGGAAACAAGCCCTCAAGCAGCTGAGCCGGGCGGCATTGCCCGTCCCTGCTGGAGCCGGGGAAGGGGGCTCTCAACATGCCCTGGGCTGGGAGCAGTGTGGGGAGCAGGTGGCCGGAGGGAGGCCCTGTCGGCCCCCAGGACAGGGTGTGAGGACAGACCAGGAAGCCAGCGAGGCCAACGGGCCACCTACGGGCCTGAGGCCAGGCTGAGGGGCAACACAGCAACAGCAGGTGAGGACAGGGCCCAGAGTGAGCAGATCCCAGATCCCAGATCCTATCCCAGATCCCAACCCACATCCCAGATCCCATCCCAGATCCCAGATCCCAACCCACATCCCAGATCCCATCCCAGATCCCAGATCCCAACCCACATCCCAGATCCCAGATCTCAGCCCACATTCCAGCCCACATCCCAGATCCCAGCCCACATCCCAGATCCCAGCCCACATCCCAGACCCCAGCCCACATCCCAGATCCTGGATCCCAGCCCAGACCCCAGCCCACATCCCAGATCCCAGCCCACATCCCAGATCCTGGATCCCAGCCCAGACCCCAGCCCACATCCCAGATCCCGGATCCCAGCCCAGACCCCAACCCATATCCCAGATCCCGGATCCCAGCCCAGACCCCAGCCCACATCCCAGACCCCAGCCCACATCCCAGCCCACATCCCAGACCCCAGCCCGGGACCCAGAACGCAGTGTCAGGCTGCCTCAGGAGGGGACACTGGACACTGCTGCCTCCCCATGCTCCCGGGCACCCGGGAGCCAGCGGGGGAGGGTGGCGAGTGGACACCCCCCCACCCTGAGCGAAGCCCGCCCACCCCTGTGGGGGGTCCTCTGAGGCCCTGCCCAGGACCCCGACCGGCGGAGTAACGAGCGGATCATCTGTGCTTTCCACTGGACGACGCCGACTTACCTTAAAATAACAAGATTACATTTTTTTCCATTAAAAGAAATGGAAAAAAGATCAATTTTTTTTCTCTTTTGGCCAACGGTAGAAATGGAAAAATGATCAAGTTGTTCCCGGCGTTGGTCAGCCACAAGGAAACAAAGTCTGCACACCAGAGCGACGGGCGAATTCCCGGAGGGAGAGAACACAGGTCACCGTGGACAGAGCCTGGGTCCGGAGAAACGGTGCCACGGCCACCGCCACGGCTCCCGCAGACCCCGCTGGACACAGCCTCCAGGGGGCCGGCTCCGGCCTGGCAGCTCTGCTGCGGCCTCTTCTCCCCACCCCACCCTGGGTCCCGGCGCTGTCTGCACCCCTGCTCCCACTGGCCGGGGATGCCTGGCTGGAGACACAGGAAGCGAGACGGAGGGAGCCAGGGCGGGCTGGCCAGCGAGGGAGGCTGACCAGCGAGGGAGGCTGGCCAGCGAGGGAGGCTGACCATCGAGGAAGGCTGACCATCGAGGGAGGCTGACCAGCGAGGGAGGGTGGCCATTGAGGGAGGCTGACCAGCAAGGGAGGCTGACCATCGAGGGAGGCTGGCCAGCGAGGGAGGCTGACCATCGAGGGAGGCTGACCATCGAGGGAGGCTGGCCAGCGAGGGAGGCTGACCATCGAGGGAGGCTGGCCATCGAGGGAGGCTGGCCAGCGAGGGAGGCTGACCATCGAGGGAGGCTGACCATCGAGGGAGGCTGACCATCGAGGGAGGCTGACCAGCGAGGGAGGCTGGCCAGCGAGGGAGGCTGGCCAGCGAGGGAGGCTGACCAGCAAGAGCACTGCCCCCACACCCCCAGCCACCAGAGAACCCTGATTATTTTCTCCCACTCCTGAGGCCTGCTTTAATGTAACATGAGAGCAGAGGTGGGAAAGACGGAAACAAAGATGATTTTAACAGAAAGGAGCGTCCGTCCCTGTTAAATGTTATTCAAGCTCTGTCCGTGCTATGAGGGAGAAAGTAGAGAGTGAGCCAGGGAGGGAGGAGGAGGGAAGGGGAAGGAGGGAAGAGGGAGACAGGGAGCGGAGGGAGGGAGGAGGGAGGGAGGGGAGGAAAGGAGAGATCCCATCACTGGGTCAGTAAACAACCCATCGCTCCCGTTTCTAAGGTGGGGTCCCTCTCCCCGCCCGCCCGCACCTTGGGGCGGCCCTCAGCACAGGAGTCCCGCCCGCCCGCTTCTGGGCTCCACCAGACGCAACACTGGTTAAATTCTGATGCACAACACAACCAGCGTCACATCCTGAGTGAAGCGGCAGGTGCTCAGCCATCGGCCGTCCCATCAGACCGCGCACGGGCTGGCCGGCCTGAGCTGCGGCTGCGCCCCTGCAGGCCCGCACTCCCTCGTCCTAATGTGAAGTCCTGGCTGTGAGGGGGACGTTGCACGCTGCCGGGCCGTGCTTCGCACACCACGGTCATCTACAAAAACCACACGTGCCCTTCACTTTCATCTTCACCCCAACCCTCAGAACCTGCAGGCTACTGGACGGATGCGTCTGCGTCCTCCACCGTGAAGGGCCGGGCCTGCCGACGCAGCTTCACTCATCTCTCTACTGTGACCCCCGGGGTGCAGGACCCAGGCCGGACGGGAGGCGGAGCCGGGAGCAAATGACAGCCGGCCATCAGGGACGGCGCGGGCCTCCGGCGCGGG